TGCATCGGAGTTTGCGCGTCCGTGCACGTACGTCAATTCCCGTTGGTCGGATGAAATCAAACTGGTTTGTTTTTTTAATACGTGCACGTCCGAGCGTTAGAATTTTTATAGCTCTGGGCCCAATACATTCCCGAAAATTATGAATATTTTTGAATACCAGGTTTATATTAATTTAGGATATATTAATGTTGATGGAAACATTCTAAAATATTCAAAAAATTTGACCGGTTGCTGTTTTAATTCACCAAATATTTTACATATTCATTTTCTTCTCCTTTTCTTGCATATTATTTTATATGCAATTATATATACATATATATATATATATATATATATATATATATATATATATATATATATATATATATATATATATATATATATATATATATATATATATATATATATATATATATATATATATATATATATATATATACGTATACAATAAGTTAAGTAGTTGTTTTAACATTAAATCTTCAGACAGTATCAAAGTAGTGGCGGTATATATATATATATATATACGTAAGTTAAGAAGTAGTTGTTTTAACATTAAATCTTCAGACAGTATCAAAGTAGTGGCGGTATCCGTTTTGACAAACTCGACACACAGGACACCCTGAACGCGCATCTAATGTAACTACTAAAATAAAATAGTCGTGCGAGTAAATTCCGTCAGAGCTCGCACGTTTAAAAAAACGCACGGACCCGCGTCCAATGTAACCGCGGGCTAATGTGTTTATGTATATGGCCGTCATCCGGACAGAGCATACGCGACCCATGAGAAACTGTTCATATAAACTCATGTTACTTGCTCGAAGTCGCGGACGGTCCATCGCGGACGCTCCGCTTCATCTGAAAGCGCTGTTGCCATTTGCTAGATTCCAATTACAGGGCGTTCAAAATACCACGGCCAAATTTGAGAAGTCAATTCCTTATCAAAAAATGTGAAATAAAAATCATGTAAACATAGGTTCGCAGATGCATAACTAGTTCCTAGTTTTAAACTAAACATACAAGATGTTAAATTTTTTTCTTAAATACCGTTTTTTTAATTAGCTCGCATGTAGGTGCCAGTAAACATCAATGTTATAATTTATAATTTGTTAACAAGATTTTTAAAATATTTTATTCATTGTTACAAATTGAAAGTTATTTTTTTTTAATTTTGAAGTGAAACCAATGTGACCGTGACACATGAGCGGAACGAAAAACTCGGTAACGAAAAGCGGTAACGAAGAAATACGTATTCGACGAGTGTATTTGTAAGCAGTCCAAGTGTTTATCAAAAATATTTATATTTTAATACAAATTTTGTGAAAGTGAATCAAATTATTACGTGAAAAAAACAATTTGTTACACGTAAAAAACTTTTTTAAGCGTAAAATATATTTGCTTCGCGTAAAAAACTATCAAGGTGTAAAAAATATTTTTTATGTGTAACAAACTATTTGTTACACTTAAGAAAAACTATTTTTACGTGTAAAAAACTATTTGTTACGCGTAAAAACTATTTTTTACGCGTATTTCTTTTTTATTTATTACTTTTTCAACATTTCAAACTACACTTTTTGAAACATGTCCTCCAAATTCTTCAATTTAGTAATAGCTGTTGCAAACTGTTATAGTCTGTGAAACGAATAACTTTGAATTTGACAGTTCCCGCGGTCTTTTCTAGTGTTAATTTTATTAGGTTAGCAGCTTGCGGCCATGCTGAAGCAATGCTGTCTCTAATAGAACAGCCACGGAGCGAGATTTATGACGTTACACTAGTTAGATATTACGGATTAATAAATATGTTGTAGAATACATGGAAAACATAATTATTCCTCGTATTTTTGTTTGTATTTTAAAAATGATATAGTTTACATGAAATATACATAATTTACAGTTAATAAATACAATATATATACCTATTTATAGTAATAAATACTTTGGCAAATAAACTATAAATCATATAAATACAACAAATACACACAAAAATCACAACCTACCAAAATAATAATAATATTATTAAATAATTAATAATAAATACATCACTAGTAGGTATTGAATGTGTTTTGTTAAATTAGATCGATTTTCAAACCTCAAAATTTAAAATATATTTTACATTTTACCCATTATCTTATGTCCCTATTTATTATTTGTATATTGTAAAACATTTGCTGCATTTGTATGGTTCATAGTTTATTTGCCAAAGTATTTATTAATATAATGGTATATATATGGTATTTATTAACTGTATATTATGTATATTTCATGTAAACTATATCATTTTTAAAATACAAACCAACAATAAGAGGAATAATTATGTTTTCCATGTAGTCTACAACATATTTATTAATCCGCAGTATCTAACCAAGAACAGTTAACCTAATAGGACTGCTCATTCAGCCAAAAGTGTCCGCCAGGTGCATGCGAAAACTACTCGCTTTGTGACGTCATTGTAGCCCTTGTCATGGTTATTAGTCCTTATCCGGCAACCAATAATACACACACGTGCATTATTGGTTACCGAATGCAAAACGTTCATTATTTAGTTTATTTATTTAAACACCTTATATGTATGCAGTATAGAAAATTAACTGTATAAATCGTATTAAATACTCGGATAATGCATTTTTAAGAACAGCAGTTCCCAGTGTATCACCTTTTGCAAGCATTCTTTTTAGAGTACTTCCATATTTTGCTTTAAAATAATTAATAAACAAAATCGTGGGCACTTAGTATGCACTTTGTCACAATCCACAACACAAAATGAACGTATTTATACACTCTATAGCTCTAAAAACTTTAAAGACACCTTTTTCACATTTAAAATTGACAAAATAATTAACTCAAAATTTCTCAGCTGTTATTTTTATAAGTTTACCATAGGCAACTAATAATACACACTATCATGACAAGGCCTTGAAGGCTTTGACAAGGGCTACAATGACGTCACAACTGTCAGCTGAAGCGCGGGAAGAGGCGAACGTACGTCTTATGAGGATGAGCAATCCTATTAGTTTACCGTTCTTGGTATCTAACTAGCGCGACGTCATAAATCTAGCTCCGAGGCTGTTCTATTAGAGACGAAATTGGTCTGATATTTTGAAATGTCAAAAGCTGATATGACATTTTACTTTTGACAATTATGAGATTTCGTGTTGATTTTTGGAAGAAGAGGAAGAACTGTCACTTGTTCTATTATCTTCCTTTTCTATTTCACGAAAGTAAAAAGAGTTACCTATCTGATTCGTTCAGGTACTCAATTTAAAGAATATCAGTAACTTTTTTGGTAGAGGGATTTTATATTTACCATGTTGGTAAAAAATAACGGTCAAAATTCAAAGTTATTCATTTTATAGACTATAGTAAGAAGTTTCGCTTCAAATATACGCATACAGGGTGTTATTGAAATAGTGTAAAAAAATCAGGGGGTGATAGTACTCCTAAAAATAGTAAAAAAAGTTCCTATAAGTATAGGGCGGAAAATGCATATTAAGGGAGTTAGGGGCACTAAAAGGATGAATTTAAAAAAAGGTTGTTTTGAAATTGTAGGCTTAAAAAACGAGATAAAATTTCGAAAAAAAAATGCTTTGCCATAAATTTTGACCCTAAATCAAATGGTGATACTAAAAAATTATTTGGAAAAGCGGCAAGAGTAGTTTTTGCAGGGGTAGGGGGTTGTTTCGTGAATAACTTCTTAGAAGTTATTTTTTTTTTGCAACGCGGGTTCATTTCTTGAAAACTACATACTTTTTCCTACAAAAAAGGTACTCTTGTTGCATATCGCCCAGAGCGATGGTTTTCGAGAAAATTGAAGGCAAAGAGTTTGCTCTGATGGGTTGGTATCAACATAAACTTATGAAAATTATGGCGGTTCAAAAGTAACCAAGTAATTATCAAATAATTAATTGAACAATCAAAATTTTATGATTTTTAAAATATCTCATTGCTTTAAAAACGAAATAATCCACTAGATTTCTACTTCTGGGGCCACTTTGAAAGCTTTGGTTTACTCAGTGCAACGCATTATTGACTGTTCCAATCAAATTCGGACAAACACCAAGAATATTCCACAGGGTACACAGATCTTGGAAAAGAAGAGCAGATGTCTGCATCGAAATGAATGGTGGTCACTTTAAACATTTACTATGAATGAATTAATGAATGCATTATTTTAATAAGGAATTTTGGTAATTGGTTTATTTCGTTTTTAAAGCAATAAGATGTTCTAAAAATTATGAAACTTTGATTTTCCAAATAATTATTTAATAACTACTTGATTACTTTTGAACCGCCATAACTTTCATAAGTTTTTGTTGAGCTAACAACCCATCAGAGCAAACTTTTTGCCTTAATTTTCTCGAAAACCATCACTCTGGGCGATGTGCAACAAGAGTACCTTTTTGTAGGAAAAAGTATGTAGTTTTCAAAAAATGAACCCACGTTGCATAAAAAATAACCTCAAAAAAGTTATTCACGAAACAACCCCCTACACTTGCAAAAACTACCCTTTCCGCTTTTCCAAATAATTTTTCAGTATCATTATTTGATTTAGGGTCAAAATTTATGGCAGAGCTTAAAGCTTAATAATCTTTAAGACTACAATTTTAAAAATGTATTTTAAGGGAATTCAAAGATCTACGGGAGGGATCTATTTTCTCGAAAACAAGTGGCATATATTTGTTCCAATTTTTTTGCGATAAGTTGTGCCTAAGAAGGTACTAAACTTAATTATTTTCATATAATTAAGCCCAAATTACATCATTATTACTAGAAGTAACACTGACAAGCGTCAAGAAAGTCGACTACAGGGTATTTACGATAATTACAGAATAATTAATTTGTATTTTGAAAACTACGAGAACCCATCTTTATAGTAGGTATAACAACTATTTACTATTTTCCATATTTTTTGACGAGGACTCGTCAAAATATTTTTACTCGACGTACATTTTTCGAACACCATGTATGTAATTTAAAGTCGAACCAAATATAAATTAAAAACTTACCTGAAATAGCAGCTAGATACTGAGTTTTGTGACTTTCATCATGTTTTAATAACATTTTTTGAACACATAATGTTGTCATGTTTGTTAAATTTTCATAAATTTAAAAGTGTAATAAGTTAGTCGAACTAAACGGGTCTAGTTTATAATTTTAACTCAATGATTTGTTAAAATTATGCTAATAAACTTTTAATACTAGTTCATTAATAAATCAATTTATTTTTCCATTTTTCTAAGATCGTTAAATGTGCTATAGCTCGGCACGATATACCGAACGAAACTACTATTTTAAGATCTGTCAATTTACATATAAAAAAGTCAAGGCAACACTTTCAGCGCGGCAACCTTATTTAAATGCCTTTGTTTAAAAAATAAACGTAAAATTCCCTGTTAACATCTATCTAGGAGTATGGTGAATAAATTGTAAGTGTCAGCGGTTCTACAAAAATGTCTATTAAGTTATTTTTATTACCTTAATGAGAATGCAGTTGATAGAGCTGAAATGTAATAAATAAAAAATGTACTAAGGAATTTTTCATGAATTTATTACACCATTAGGATATGACACGAATTGCTTCCACGTTTAAATTTGGCATTGAAGAGAGCAGATGTTCGAGAGACAGATTATCGTTTAATAGATTTTTTTAACCAAAAAAATCCTTGAACCTAAGTCTGATACTCTTAATTTATACGATAATTAATATTATTATGACGTAGTAACAAAACAAAAACAACGTTCTACACGCATAGTACAATCAGCCGATCCAAATTTCATTGAAAAATTTGACATGGTCTGGTATATTTATAGCAGGAGAATATTTTTGAAACCTACACAACACGTGTAGCGCATTTTAACTATAAATTGTAGGTGAAATAATAAAAATAGATAAATTAAAAATACAAAATAACAATAAATAAATATTAAGTTTTTTATGAACAAAATATCGATCAATCGTGATAGTAAGAAAATATGGAGAACATATAATATATTAAATATTGTTTTTGAAAAAGTTGTAGGAGGTACTGAATAGGGTTCAGAACCGGGACTCGAAATTATTTATTCCCGGTTCTTTCTGTACTTTTGGGACTCGGTAATAATAATTAAAACCATATTTTTTGTTATGTGCAAAAGACTTTTGATACTTTCGAGCGTTCGAAATCAAACTCTTCTAAATAAGCAGTATTTTTTGTGTTATGTTTTTATAGGCATTTGCATCTTTAATTGAAAATGTTAAGTTTTCTTTTTAAATTTAATTAAGTTGGTTTCGAGGTTGGTTGATGTTGTTTGATATAATTTTTAAGCCATCTATGTGTTTTCTATTTTTTTTTGCTTGTTTTTATTATTTGTGTTCATGTTTACTTTCTCATGACTTAATAATTTGATATTATTTTCATTTGAAAATCAATTTTTTATCGGTTTTACTTTTGAGAACTATCCCTTGCTTGCTAATTGACGAACTCCACAATCATTGAACGAAAATATTTTAGTACGGTTCCGGAAACTCTAATTAATAGGTACTACCAATTAGGGTTCAAATCTTTTGGGCCATCACAGAACCGTGCCTTGGTAACAATAGGTAATTATAAATTATTTTTTGTTACGTTAGACTTTTCTGAATAAGTAATGAAGCTATTTCTTATTGTTTTTGCATCTTTTCTCTTTTGAAGCTCCTATAATATTTATTATGTTATGTTTTAAAAGTTATTTGCATTTTTAATTCAATATTTTAGGGCTTATGTCTCAAATTCAGTTAAGTCGGTTTATGTTGTTTGATGTGAAATTTAAGTTACCTATACTTTTTTCTTTGTAGAATGTAGAATGGGTAAGAGGGGGGGGGGGTTAGGTTCCTTGGGTCATCACACAGTCTATAACCCATCATACCCCTCTTGTAGAGGGGACAGGGTATTTCCCATCCTCCTCTGACAACAGTTCTTCCTCCGAGGGTACACACCCTTCCACGGTTGGAGTTTGGCGCTCCGTGCCGCCCTTCACAGTCGAGGAACTTGCCTCCGGCTGAGAAACTCTTGAGGTGGAGCCTGGAGGATCTGTCTCCATTTTCTCCACCTCTTTAAATTGGTCTCTCCTTAGACCTGATACCGGTGTTGTCCCGTATCTATAATAGAAGATATGTCCCTCTTTCTCTATTGCCTCCTTGGATTTGAGGTCAATTCCTATTGTGAGGACCTGACCATGATCCTCCTCCCTCGAGTTGATGACTCGCCAACTCGATGTCCGTAAATTGAAGTTGTGAACCTGGATAAGGCTCAGCAGGTAGGTGGTGAGTCTTTCCCCTTGCTCCTCGGCAGAAAGACCGTGATGGCCGCCCCTTTAGGGAGGTTTTCTCCCTTCACTGTAACCAGCTCCGGCCCCTGCCAATTTTTAAGCTTAGGTGCGATTTCCACCGACCGATTCGCCGATTCTTGAGATACACAATCTATGAGGATCATGCCCACCCGAAAGTATCCCCGCAAAACGCAGCTGACCCACATTTTGTATATCGTTGTGTTGTGATCCGATCACCACTACTTCGTCCAGTATAGCCTCTTCTAGAGACGTTTGCTGGTCGGTGGTCAGAGCAACCTCTGGGAAATCCTTTGGCAGCTCGGCCGTTTTCACTTGTCCAGCAATAGCGGCAAAGCTGGTGATACGTCTCTGTTTGCCTCCCGGTGTTGGACGGCTTTCCATCCTGGCTTTTTTCTTTCCCTGCCGGAGAAGAGGTGAGAGGTTCTCGCTCCCTCTCTTTCCCTTTGATGGAAATGAGTCAGGTTGTTACTTGGTTTCTTTACAAACTCCCCCCTTTTCGGAGGAGTGTTTTCGCTTTTGCTTCCTCTGGGGCAAGTCCTTCGTGGAGCAGTCGGAGGTATCTCCGTGCTTCTGCTCTGCTAAGACCTAATCTCAGAGGATCGTCTAGCCCGCCTGGTTGACCCCGGCCGGTTAGACGAAAAGGTAGCTTGTGTCGCTTAGGTAGGTTGTGTTCTAGAGGTAGGCTCCCGACCCGTGCTGGAGAAGGTTGTAGCTTGTGTGCCACTTGTGGAGGATGATCCCAAGCAAGTGTCAGCCGCCCCTCTTGTAGTTTCCTTCGGATTTGGTCCCTTGGAACTTTTATTTGTAATGTTTCCAGTGTCGCTAGGGGCTTCCCCACAGCTTCACCGACGGTGTTTTTAATGCTAGATATCATAGTGTTCCCACGAGTCGCTAGGGATAGTCGGTTCACTTCTACAGAGCCCCGCATGTAGAAGTAAGGGGTAAATACAATGGAGTGCCCCCTGATGCCCCAAGATTGAGGCCAGTAACGACTAGTCCTCTATCTAGTCACGCATCTCTTTGACCTGGTCCCGCCATCGTAGGATTTAGGTTTTTGGTGAGGTTGTCTCCTCTTGGTCCAGGCAGTTAAGATCTCCCCCCCCCCCACACACCCTCTACCCGCGAGACATGACCACAGTTAGTAGAGGGTATGAGGGTAGATGGTATGATGGACAGGGGTAACCTCGTCCAGCATCGTTATATGTCTTGGTGCAATTCCCTGACCACGACATTACAGCCAGGGACAAGACGATGAATGAGATGCCTGTTAGAACAAGCCAGGCGCTAGGGGGATTCCTCCCAGCACCTGACCAGGAACTTCCACACCAACGATAAGGTCTTGCATCTCCTAGGGGAAGTACTTTTTTCTTTACTTGTGTTCATGTTAATTTTTCATGACTGATTACTTAATAATTTGATATTATTTTCTTGAAAAATCTCAATTTTTTATCCATTTTACTTTGAAAAACCATCCCTTGCTTTCTGATTGATGAACTGCACCACCATTGAACAAAAAGTAGTCAGTACCGAAATTACGAAAAAAAACGGGTAAACCCGGTTCCTAAGAGACGCAGTACCGAAATTTCCGGTTCCGAAAAACAGCTCCGGAAACCCTAGTACTGAAGATAATTTTAATGTTTTTTATTCAGACACTATAAAGGACATAGCTCTAGTATACCAAATGTACCAGAATGTTTTGTAGAACATTTAATTCACATACAGCTGATGAACTTGCCAGTTTTAAGAAATTAAATATCCGAGACTTAAAAAATTAATATAGTTATGAAGTTTTATTTCATTTAATTTTTAGAACTTCACCCATGTTGTCATGTTTTCTCTTTTAATTCTCTCTAAAACGATATGGAAATTTGGACAAGTATAATCAGTGTAACATTTTAGAACAAGCGAAATTATTTATGACGAATGTCAAAATGCCAATAATAAAAAAGGTTTTACTCTTGTAAAGACAAATCCGGGGACATACTGTAGTAATACATTCTACACATCAACAGATCTACTATAGAATTTTTGCGTCTCGCATTTTGACATGTAATTGAGTACATAAACAAATAGTTGCTATCTAATAAAGTGTCAATTGCATTTATAGTCATCATATTATGTATTTTTTACTGTAGGTATGTTGTTCATAATTTTTAACTCCTAGAGATACATGTGATTTTTCTGTTTAAGATGGCATTATGTACAAATAAAATGTTGCCAAATAAAAAAGAATACTTACCCAGCAGTTTTAATGAAAAAGAACAAATATAAAATTTTCATTTTTCGTCTGTTTATTTAAAACTGGAATTCCACTATAATATTGATATTAGGATAATACACGTGGGAGGCTTTATATTTATTTAACGTAATATTAAATATTACACTGAAAAAACAACTCTTTTGTAAAATCGCTGTACCTATTGCTAATCTGTGGCATGTATATTATATACAAATATGTTATATAATATTCTTCTCTTTTTATTCTTTATTATTTTTTATTCTTTATTTTCACCAATTATTCTTTGTGAATTTATTTAGAAAATGTGTATCTCATAGTAAAGTTATCTTTGTAAAAAAAAAATCTTGTATTTTTTTTACAAGATTTTTTTTCAAACATCTTAAGCCGCGTCCAAGCTACTCGAACAAAACATTCGCGAACATATATAATTCACACTATATACTCGTAGCAGCAGGTCGTAAACGACGGCACAGCCCATCGCATCGGTCCCGAGGACTGGGGTGCGGGGAAGAATGCGACAACCAGTTTGCTCTATAGATCTAGGATACGTTTAGGTAGTCGCCATTTTTTCGAGTGCCCGGATTTCGAGTGCAAGCATTTTATTAAATAAATTAACCGGTTAGCAGTTTAAGAACTTTTGTCGTTGGAAGAATCAATATTTAGCATGCGGAGGGTCACAGGGGTCTTTTGGTAGATTATTTGTTATAATGTATTTTTAAGACCTGTATTCATTTTCAGCCGATTCTACCAGGTGTT